GATGATGTCCACTCCAAACCTTCGCCTGACGGCGCCATGAGGCATGACATCCTGGGAGCGAACAGGAGATTCTTCCTTGACTTCGACGAAAAGCTTTTTGGTCAAGTGTTTGGAACATTTAACTGGCCTATGATAGAATATTGCATTCTAGGTGGTTTATTCAACCGTATGTGCTACCCTCAACTTTATCGGACGACATAAATGATCGCGAGTTGGCATTATCCGGATTTCACTTGTTTCGAAAAGATAGGAGAAGACGAGAGGAAGAAGGAATGCTCACATACATAAAACCCGGACTACTTGTATCAGAAAAATCAATGACCTTCTAAAAAGGTATCGAAATTGCAAAGCCTTAAAGTTCGGGCAGCCTATTAACCATGAAGAAGAGACCTGGAAACTGATTCCACGTCTGACAGAGGAGGTATAATGGTTTTCTACTAAGCCAAATGTACTGACCATGGGCGAATTCCACGTACCAATTATCAACTCGAGTCCAGTTAACGTACTCGGTCCAGAACAAGAATTTTACTGACGTTGATTGAGCCTGATGCTCAGACTGATCCCCACACAGCACATCGTGTTTCCGACGAAGGTGAATGAGAGACAAAAACCGAACAGTGTTAATCTGCTGTTCACGAAATTGTCGGACGGAACTGATGATGTGCGCTGTCTACCTCCCCTTGGTCGAAGTAATCATGAAAAACTGCTCTGGGAATATTTCATTGCGTTCAATGCTAGAACAAAGCATCAGGATCAAAAAAAACATGTGGCGCGGCAACTTCGATCTTATGAGGGTCATATAAACAAAATGATCAGGGGACCAACATTTTCCAGCAAAATTCTTAGGTGAAGAAGACAAACAGGGCAGGATCTGATGGTACCGGAAAGTTCGTGACGGCTCACCAGCTGCGTCCTGTCAAATTCAAATCTGTTGTATTCTTCCCAGTCGTTATTTATATCATGAAGCTGCAGGACGCAACTGACGAGCCGTCGCGAAATTCGTTGATGCAATTAAATCCTGCCCTGCTTGCCTTCTTCAGCTTCGGACCGGGAACAAAATGCTCCAAAATCCTTTTGTGTTGGGAATGGTTCAGTGAGTTATTGGACATGGCCCACCGAAACCCCTGTCCGACTTCACTTAAGAGACCGAACACCAGGCCGAACGGGATGAAACGGACTTTGAAATGAGAAACGGACAAGAAACGGAGGCTGTGGAGGAAGGTCCTCGCTAATACAAATCCTTTGTTGAAAAATGCATGCAGATCGCAGAGCAACCTATTCAAACAACTTATCCTCGGAATACGGCAGGATTTTTTTAAAGACCTGCTGAACCGTGCCGTTGAGAATCGGAAGTTATTTTATTGTGGCATAAGAAAGAGCACAGAAACAGAGATCCCAGACCATATACTGAAGGCTAGCGATGACCTAGAGCTTAAGGGGGATGGAGCAATGGTAGGGCACCTGTCACCATTTTCATGTTCATCTCTACGAGAGAAAGCGAATTCATTTCTCCTTTCTGTGACTTGGTAGAATGCCTAGTAAGTGGGGTCCATTCTTTCGCCGAAAACGATCGTTTGCAAAGGATTGTGGACGCTGAGCGAGTCACAAACGCCTTAGTCAGATAACATACCGTCCAACTTGCTGAAGAAGCTCGCTGCAGAAATGTCCAAACAGCTTCCCATGCCCTTCAAAGACTTCATTCGAAGCAGGCTATTTACCCGCAGATCAGAATTCTGCATGGATCGCATCATCGTTTCAAAACGGCAGAAGGGTTTCTGTAAAGAACTACAGACCAACCAGCTTCAGTCCATTCGGCTGCAAAATTGTGGAAAAAATAATCAAGCGAGAAATGCCGAGCTTCTTAGAGCGGCACAGTCTATGGTCTGGTGTCCAACACGGATTCCGTAGAGGTCGGTCGTACGTGACAAACTTGCTCACTGTTTAGGACGCTAGATTTGAACAGTTCATGGAAGAAACGTTATGTGCATTGTTTACATTGACTTCAGGAACGATTCGATAGTGTGCTGCGTCGGCGACTCTATAAAATCAGTCAAACGGGCGCTTCGGATAAGCTTCTGAGATAGATGCGGAGATACTCAGTCTGTCGCTCTCAAGTTGTCCGCATCGGTGAACAGAAGTTGGCGAAGGTGGCAGCCGAGAGTGGTGTTCCACAAAGCTTCCTTCCTGCTCCTACTCTCTTTGCTCTCATGTGTCAACGACTGCGTTGATGAACTGGATTATGATTTCGCAATTTTTGCTTTGGGCCATCATCTGAAATGAAGAAGACGAAGAACGTTTGCAGGTGAATCTAAATCGATCCTAACAGTGGTTCAATAACAGGCTTTAGTCGTTTAACGTGAACAGTGCAATATTGTATGAGTCAGTGGAACACGATTTCCAAAATGTAGAGTTCACTGTTTGAATGGCACACCACTGCAAGAAGCGGATGCCCAAAAGGACTGAGCTGTGTGAATCACGACTTCAGTTAAACCATCACTGCACTGCTCAAAGGTAGCCAAGTCCGCGATGTCAGCGGGATTTCCGTAACTTTGATGAAAACTACTCCATTAAAGTCTTGAGAACGTTCGTGCAGTCGCACCTGGAATTCGCTGTACAAGCCCGGAGACCACAGACCGCCAAAAACTCCAACGGCTTCGATAAAGTTCAAAGGCGTGCAGCCAAACTTGCAACTGGATAGGCATCACTGACCCATGAAAAACGATTATCTAACCTCGATATATTTTCCTTGAGGTACAAACGTCTACGAGGCGGCTTGACAAGCATTTCGCATCACGCGTGGCCGGCGATGCCGTCTTCTACCTGGGGACATTTTCGAGGTCCTCTACTCAAAATACGTGTGACCGGTGGTAGGCCAGACATGCAAAAGTCCTTCTTCCTCAGCAACGATTGAAGATTTGAACGCATTTCTTGTGGGCGTCGTCATGTGAACATCTGTAGAGGCCCTTAATTGAAAGAAGACAGCCCGTCTACGGACCCCATTGCAACCGAGACGCCTTCTCATGTGCGAGCGCAAAATAACCGAAGGGCATCTCAAAAAACCAGGAGACGTCTCAAAGCATCCCAAAAAGACCAAGTATGTCAGAGCGCCAGCAGGGGAGGACAGAGTCCACACAGAAGACAAGAAGATGCCTCACTGACGCAGGAGGTACCTCATGACCAGGAAGCCTCGATAAACGAGGAACCCTACGGTAGCTATACCATGACAACTGTCGCTGAAGGGGACATTGCTGACAACAAAAACTTTCGGGATGCCAACTGTGCGTATAAAAATAAACGACAGCGCCCTATTGATCGCAATAAATGCATCATCGTAAAGGGTATGCCTGTGTCTTCTTCAGACATCCCATAGAACAGAATAAGCCACGATATAGAACTATTCCAGCACTACCTCAAATCCTTATTACAAGAGAACGAGAACATCACCGTATTGAAAGCTTTCAGGATAGGACCCATTAAGGATTTGGAGGGCGAGTCGGGCCATCACAGACCATTAAAAATTATTCTCGAAAGTGAGGAACAAGCACTATTACTGTTGAATAGGAAACCAGCACTGCGAAATGCCCACCCAACAATTTTTTTCAGCGGGATTTCTCACCGGCCGAACGGGAGAAATGGAGGGAACTCAAGGCCGAACTCCTCAGAAGATACTATTCCGGCGAGAAAAACCTAAGAATAATGAATGGCAAAATCGTAAATGTTCGGAGCTCATTCCTCTAGAAACAACCAATAACACTGAGCATAATGAACAACCAGTTAATAAGGAAAGAACGCCCCTATCTGAAAAACCGATCAGAGAAAACGACGGACAACACACTAACATCCAGTCCAATCAAACAGCAGTAGACTCGGAAGAAGACGATAGACCCGAAAACTCGCGCGAAGTATCCAGCAACTTCGGCCCAAGAATCGATCGGGAATCTGCCCGGTCTAAGCTCCGCTTTGTTTATGCAAATGCTCAGAGTTTGTTTCATGAGCTAGATGAGCTGAAAGTATGGATAACAGATACGCAGCCGGATGTCATTTCTATCACTGAGACTTGGTTCCAGACCGAAGTCTTGGATGCCGAAATAACACTTGAGGGATACCAACTTTTTCGCCGGGACAGACTGCATAGAAAAGGAGGAGGAATAGCGGTCTACGTCAAGAGAGGAATCATCGCGTCGTAACACAAAACCGATTGCTCCGGCGACTGTGAAGCAATGTGGTTAAAACTGAGGATGCGTGGCGCACCTAATTTGAATTTCCTGACCGTATACAGGCCGCCCAGTCAACCTGATGAGGTTGACGAGGCGATGTTTGGGCTAATTAAAGAGATGTCACAAAACCAAGAGGTACTGATAACCGGAGATTTCAACACACCCAGGGTCGACTGGAACAATTTGTTAGAAAATGGCTCGCGAAATTCCTGCGATTCCAGGCTCTTGAAGCTAACGGCTAATCTCTTTCTGGTACAAAACGTCGCGTTTCCAACGAGGATCAGAGAGGACCAAAGAGCGAATTGTCTGGACCTCGTCCTTACAAAAGACCCGATTAGCCCTGGCGAACTTAGGTCCATAAAACCGCTCGGTAAGAGTGACCATGTCATGCTGTTTTGGGAATACTGTCTATGCAGCCAACAAGCGAATACGACTGAGCCTAGACTGAATTTCTGGCGAGGAGATTTTGCCGCCATGAGAAGGGAATTATCGGCAATGGACTGGGATGACTTTCTTTCCGGACATCCAGACGTTGATTGGAACACTCTCAAAGGAGTTGTAACAGACATCATGCATCGGAACTGTCCAACAAAGAGAGTCAAAAAGAATAATCGTCCTGCCTGGATAACGTGGGATATAAAGAAAGAAGTAAACCGGAAGAACAAACTATGGCGAAGGTATGCAACAACAAAACAACCATCCCATTACGAGCAATTTCGTCGAAAGCGAAACGAGGTAGGGGGGGCTATCCGCAGGTCGCGGAAGGAGTATCAAATGCGAGTTATGGAACGGGCCGTCGATAAGCCAAAAGTGCTCTTCAGCTACATAAACAGTAGGCTAAAGAACAAGGAGACAGTCGCAGTGTTGAAAGGAGAAAACAATGAGGATATCATCGAAAATGACGCTAAGGCAGAAAATCTAAGCCGGTTTTTCGTATCGGTTTTCACCGATGAAACGGACTTTGACGAGGCTGGGACAACCGACGAAATAATAGAAAACATCGACTTCACGGAAGAAGATGTGAGGAAGGAACTTCTAGCGCTTAAGGAGGGCAAGTCTCCGAGCCCAGACCAAATTCCGGCAAAAGTGTTGAAGGAGTTGGCTTGCGAACTCGCCAAACCGCTTTGGCACCTCTTTAGGTCGTCGTTTGACCGAGGCATTCTCCTCTCTGATTGGAAAGTGGCGAACATATACCCCATTCACAAGGGTGGATCCAGAACAAGTGCAAACAATTATCGGCCGGTGAGCCTGTTATGACCCGCCTGGTACGTGAAATCCTGCGGAGCGTATGCGCACTCGACCCTTGTCCCCAATACCAACGCGGCAGAGAAGGAGAACGCGACCGGCCACGAAACTGTGTATTGGGAAAATGCAAGTCAAAATGAACTGGAAGTAACGCGTATTTATAACGCCTTACGGTGCTTCGCCGGCGTTCGGCCCAATGACCTTCGGGAAGAACATTCGAGACGAGCCGGTCGGTAATTCGAATATGCTGATCGATCAGGCCCGAGAGGAAAAGCCAATGGAGAGGCGCCACGAGTAAGATGACAGCGTAGTAGAGAAAACGCACGTGGCCTCCCGTGATTGGCTGGCTCTTGTTCTTGGGAGTGTAGGCGCTCCCAAAAGAGCCTAACGTGCATTTGTTGCAAAGTCATGGAGAGAATAGTCAAAAAATCCATAATGAAGTTCCTTGAAGGAAAGAATTTCTTTGCTAGTTCTCAGCATGGCTTTCGACGAAATCACTCCTGCCTAACTAATAGGCTTCATACAACGGAACAGTGGTCTCGCCCGTTAGACGCAGGAACAAAGGTCGATATCATTTACATAGATTTCAAGAAAGCCTTTGATAGTGTTCCACACCACCGGTTACTTTACAAGGTCCGAGAGTCAGGGATAAGGGGAAACCTATTAAACTGGGTAAAGGACTTTCTGACTGGTCGATCACAGTCTGTGTGTATTGGTAGTGCGAAGTCAACACCAGCGCCCGTTGTGAGTGAAGTTCCGCAGGGCTCCGTACTCGGACCAGTACTATTTTTAATTTATGTCAACGACTGTATGAATGGACTGGACTGCAATGGAGTCATGTTTGCTGATGACATCAAGTTATGGCGAGCAATCAACGGCGAACATGATGAACAGGCCCTGCAAGAAGGACTGAACCGCCTATGCGAATGGTCTGACAAATGGCTGCTAAATTTTAACCTAGAGAAGTGCGTCGCGCTGCGACTCAAAACGACTGGAAGATCTGACGGAGAGGATCACCATTACCAACTTGGTGGAAGGTGCCTTTCAAATGTAACAGAACAAAAAGACCTTGGGATTAACATTCTGTCGACCCTTAAGCCTTCATCTCAGTGTGTGAGGGCGTCCAAAAGAGCAACTAGTGTTCTCTTTGCCATTAAACGCTCTTTCGTGGGCATAGACAAAGAGTTATTTGGAAAAGTATACGGAGCGTTCATTCGCTCGCATCTGGAATATGGAATCCAAGCGTGGCGCCCGTGGATAAAAAAAGACAATAAGCTGCTAGAAAGAGTTCAGAGGAGAGCAACAAAAATTGCAAAAGGCCTCAGGACTCCACCTTACAACTGCCGACTTAGGGAACTTAAACTTTTTCCTCTTGAGTACAGACAGGTTCGAGGAGATCTCATACAGGTCTATCGGATATTGAGGAACCGGGAATGTACCCTAAACCCCGACGATTTCTTCACCCTGGCCAGAACAACAAACCTGCGTGGGAACTCTCTAAAACTTAGAGGATCCCGATGCCGCCTGGACGTTCGCAAATACTGTTTTTCACAGCGAGTCATCGGTGCCTGGAACGGGCTGCCCGAGGACGTAATAATGGCGGATACCACGGAGACGTTCAAGCAAAGACTCGATGCATATTTGCTTGAACACTATCGCTTGTCTGGACAGAACAGCTCTGTGGTGCTAAACCAACGCCTTGCATACTCATACCGCTAATGCGGATGACTGTCATTACATTTTACTGAAATCATCTGCAACTGAATGTTCTCAAGTTCTTGTTCTACATTTCCGTGGAAACATTCTGTTAAATGTGTATATTACTGACAACATTTCAGTAACATGTTTATTTAAAGTGAGATATTGCATGTACAGTTTACAATAGGGTTTTCAAAGGCGTTGCCTATTACTCTTAAAATATACTGACCTATACTGACCTAGTACAGTGCTACGCACAACGATGCTATCCGACCGACGTCTGGACGCCTCCTAACAATTAATTGCCGTTACAACACTACCAATCAGATTTCAGTAACGTTTGCTTATGAAGTTTTCTGGCCGTCTCGAACTCTGCACATAATCCCTGACATTTACACAGGTAAAGGCGACAAAGCATGCAGAATTTACTGACGTTATAAATTTCGAGACCTCTCATTCGGTTTGCCTTGTCATATAACTATGCAATGACCGTGTGCAGCTGAATGAGAGGTCTCGAAATTTATGACGTCAGTAAATTCTGCATGCTTTGTCGCCTTTGCCTTGTTCAGATTTATCCCGGGAAAACATTGTTTCAATTTACACAGGTGTTTGAGAATGATTGACACCGTACTACTCACTTTGTAGCATACTTGAGCTTAAACTGAATAATGTTCTACGTACTGACCAGCGATATTTAAAGTTGAAATTGTTCGTCTACCTGCAAGGTTTTTATAATTGTTGTGTGCTTGAGCCTCCAATGTCCCCCTGGCAATCCGGAGCAGTACTTTCATAACTGCTGAAAGTTTGCATGATGTTTAATCTTCCGAATTTTAAATCTGTTTTCCTTGTTTGTAACAAAGAGGAAGTTTAAAAGTGCAAACGAAAATTCCCTCAAGTAAATTTAAGTGGATTTACTCCAGACAATCGACTGGGGCATTGTAGAAAATCTTGATTTTTTCAAGAAATAACCACGCATTCTACATCTACCAGTCGAACAGCATGATAATTTTAATCTGACCAGAGATCACCAGCACATTTTTAATTACACGGCTGCACAGTTTAGACACGTAGGTGCCTCAGTTGTACATTCATCCTCCACCAGTTATGCACACGCCACACTAGACATCGCGCGATTTCCGCTTCCGGAGGATGGAGCAGTTGCGTATTCATCTCCAAAGGCGGTTAATCGCAGGCGTCCACAACCACTAAAATGTTTTCTTCAGTCTTCAGACGCTGACATTGACTGCCCCCCCCCCCCCACATCAGATGCATACTTGGTTATTCGAACACAGAGCACTCCAGACCACACGGACGCACAGACGACCGCTCCCACCTCGAATAGGCGAATTATTTTTCTGTACTCAGAGGGCCCTAGAATTGTGGTGATTAGGGGACGCCCAATTATCCTAGTCGAAGAGAGCGGAAATATTCTCAAAGACGACAGGAAATAGTACAGCAGGTTTTGCTCGAAGATGTGCTCTCCAGAATCTTAATGCTTTCAGGATATGATAACCATCCTGCTTAGCTGACTTATTTAAAACAACCGATACCGGTATTGCTGCTTAAGTACGCATTTTTCAAATCGCATGTCCAGCTCTTCAGCGTATCCCCAAGTGCTCAGCATTCTCAATTTAGGGCCTTTTTATGAACTACTAGAAAACTTCACCTGGAATAAGGAAAGAAGAAAAAGAAGTCGCAAAACCATTCCTAACTGTTTGGAAGCGGGCATCATAGGGGCTCACTGAGCATGTAGGTAGCCCGTTTATTTCAGACCATGGGATTTACCACTTCACCCGCGTGGGTGCAGAGATGGTTGGCGAGTGAATTCGTTTATAATGGAGGAGGCTATTCAGAATCCACTTTGCCTTCTATTCCTATACCAACTGAGAGAAGACGACCTCTGATACAGTGGCTGTTAAAGTCGACTAACTCGTCCAGACGTACTACTCGCCGGCATCTAACCTCACGCAAACAAGACTTCAAACCGGAGGTCTCGGGTTCCTTGTCAGAGAGAATTTTCATAAAGTCCACATTAGGCAGGAGATATTGTAGTCTGGAGTTCGTTTCAAGGAAAGGCGAATTAAGCACGTAGCCAGGAAACAGTTCAGGCCACCACTTGAAGGTGTCATGATAGTTTTGAGAGCGTCAGAGTAACTTTATTGAACAGTACGTTGTAGACCACGAAGATGGTTACCCATGTATTGGTTTAATGTTCTTTCCCTTTTCTCATGCACCAGTCTACTTACGGAGCCTTAGACGGACTAATAATAGTGGCTGACGTGGGCTCCATACGACGATTATTCGACTGTTAGTTTCAACGATGTCCACCACGTGCTCCACAGCGGGAGGGGGGAGTAGAGAGAGTGACACGCGCGAGAATTAGTTTGTAGTGATGGTAGACTTGCGCGGCATCTACCGCACTCTCTCCTCCTCCTCCTCACCTGCCTGGGCCAGGCGTCATGGCTAAGTCAGAAAGACCGCAGACGGGAGAGGTAGTAGGTGGCTGGCACGGTGCAAACCCGCACCTAGGCGTACACTGGGCAGGATTTTAAACAGCAACAAATATGGGGGGTGGGGACGGCTCGGATCCCCAGTTGGCGCGGCATGAGCCTGCAACTGGGCGTGCCACCACAACCCGAATGTTGGCATTTGTTATGGGCGCGCATTGCCGATAACATCTGCTGGACTCCAGTCTGCCCCCCCCCCGTGTTGGTCCAGCGCATCTACCGCGTGGTCCGTTTTAGGGGCCACGCGCGTGTGCATCAACAATTAACGACCCATTTGAATTCACTGATGGTGGACTAGTGCGTGTCTTGAGCCAGGGTGGTTTCGGTTTTGGTTAGAGCAGTTGTATTGGTAACAATCGGGAGACGGCACCCAAAAAAATCCGCCTAACCAAAGCAGCCTGTCTTACGGGACAGGTGGTAATAGGGGTTTTATGAGTGGTGGCTGGTCGGGATGTACGATAATAGCCGACAGAAAGCCTTATTTGAACAGGTGAATGATCGAAGTTGGCCCACGGGTCGCCAAAGACAGTATAATGTTAACGGACGAGTGGAAGGAGTATAATCTTCTTCCCTCAGAAGGTTATCTACATTTTTCTGTTAACCACTCAAAGAACTTCAAGCATCCTACCACCGGACAGCACACCAATGCCATTGAGGCATACTGGAGTAGACTGAAAAGGAAACTCTACGAAGTAGGCCCTGTATGTGGTCGAGCTGTGTGGGCTCACATAGACGAAGTACAGTATCGTCTTTGGTTTGGCCTCAATGCCATGTCTTTGACAGATGCCTGGAAACTGTTCCTGTCCC